ACCAGAAGGCTGGCAGTTCAAACCCACCAGCCACTGCTTGGAAGGAAGGTTGGACAATCTACTTCTGTAGTGATACCACCTCGGAAACCCAAGGAGGGGTTGCTATGAGTCAGATCCGACTGGATAGGTGTGAGTATCACTTTGCAAGCTATCATCTTTCAGAATAAAAAAAGAAGAAATAATACGTTATTGTCATCTGATACTCTTATTATTTTTTCTCAGACTGGCACGTATCAGAAAAGGTAGCTATTAGTTAAATGCATATACAGGTCTATGCCTGAAGCCTAGCCACGCAAGAGCCAACATTTGGATGAAAAGAAAGTGGAGACTTTCTCATTCTCATCGTGATCTTTGCTCTTGATTCACTTGTCCAAGTTTCTTAATGGATGGAATGTTGACACTCTAAAGTCAATTTCTCCAAGACATAATTGTCTTAACTAATTTTGCAGCAGGGCAAAAAGGAGTACTTCATTTATCAAGTAAGTCTGGGAAATGTTACTACTTAAGAATTCAACAGAATCGCCACTGGCATCTTAAAAAATAAAACCAAAGCAAAAAAATAAACCCCATTTGACTTTCTCCTGGTTGCAGTCCATCCCACCCCTGTTATCATTGTGATGCAAAATTACCACGTTTCATTTGGACACTCATATATGTTCTTCTAATGCTTTCACTTCCCAGGCGATCTGGGCCTTCACCATACCCTGTAACTACTCTAATTCCTGACCATAACTCTTCGAGCTACAGGCTCCAAAGTGATTTCTCCTTATTCTCTGTGTTCTTTGTCATCTCTCAATCCTCTTTTCCTCTAATCATATGTTGGATCAGTGTACTTGATTTCAGATTGATTGATTCTTGGGATGAAACAAGCTGCAGAAGACCTCTTTAAAGTGTTAAAGAGCAAAGACGTCACTTTGAAGACTAAAGTGTCCTTGACCCAAGCTGTGGTATTGTCAATAGTTTTATGTGCATGTGAGAGCTAGAAAGTGAATAAGGAAGACTGCAGAAAAATTGATGCTTTTGAATTGTGTTGTTGGTGAAGAGTATTGAAAGTACCATGGACTGCTAGAAGAGCTAATAAATATGTTTTCGTAGAAGTATAGCTGGAATGCTCCTTAGAATGGCCAGACTTTGTCTCTTATACTTGGTCATGTTGTAAGAAGGGACCTGTCCCTGGAGATAGATATCATACTTGGTAAAGTAGAAGGTCAATGAAAAAGGGGAAGACACTCAACAAGATGGATTGACACAGTGGCTGCAGTGATGGGTTCAAGCACAGTAATGATTGTGATGATGGTGCAGAATTGGGCAAATGTTTCATTCTGTTGTTCAGAGGGTCCCTATGAATCAGAACTGACTCAAAGTCACCTAACAACAATAACAACAGGATGTGATAGACTGATAGGCAAAATTTCTCCAAAGGGAACGGATACACTGGAATGCCTTACCAATACCATGAGTTGATTAGGAATCATTATGACCATATGCATGTCAGAGTAGAACTACACTTCGTAGGTTTTTCAATGGCTAATTCTTTGGAAGTAGATCACTTTTCTTTAGAGGTATCTCTAGATGAATGGAATTTTCAACTTTTCATTTAGCAACCTTGCTCTTTAACAGTTTTACCACACAGGGACTCCATATTACATTAACGGGGGGGGGGGTGCATTTCTTAGGTGGGTGTGAAATATCTCACAAGGGATTATGTGGTACCATGTGTTTAACATGGACCAAAACCTTGAAAAGGGAAATATGGCAGGTGTATCTATTATTTCTCAGTGGACTTTCATTACTTCCCTTCCTCTTTTCTAAGGGGGAGCAGTAGTGATTCAGTGGCAGAATTCTCTCCTCCCCTGTGGGACACCTGGTTTGTTTTCGGCCAGTGCATCTCTGGTACAGCCATCACCTGTATGTCAGAGAACACTTGCATCAGTGGAGGCTTGGGTGTTGTTATGATGCTGAACAGGTTTCAGTGGACCTTCCAGACTAACATGGACTAAGAATAAAAGCCCAGCAATCTACATCTGAAAATCAGCCAGTGAAAACTCTATGGACGGCAGTAGTGCCATCCCTTTGAGCATGGGTGCTATATGAGTCAGGTGGCTAACTCATCAGCGGTTAACAACAATTTTATCTACAAACTAAGTAACTGATGCAGGTTTTCAAAAGTACTGAGGTACCTTTTCCCAGAGCCAGATATTCAAAATGCAATTGTTATAAGGAGTACAAAAGCTCAAATTGCCAGTGAACTACAAGGGTAATTGTATTTCTTAAAAAAAGTTAATCTTTATTTAACTTTCCTAAATTATGTACTCACAGCACTGAAAACTGTCAAGCCTCCCTGTTTCAGATTAAGTGCATTATTTACTTGTGATAATGGGCACATATGCTCATTAACATGCTGTCATAAACAGCTGCGTAAATGTATTATGCATTCTCTGATATAAATAAGGTGTTCAACATGAGGTTGTTGTTTAAAATATGGGCTCCAGGAAGAACAAAAAAGCAATAAATGTTTTTTTTAATATAGTTGCATGGTCTTGAATCCTAAGTTTATTTCTATCTTATTAATGCAACTTATATGGAAATTGTGAGTGGTATAGCAGTGAAATATCCTGACATTCAAGGACATTAGAACATCTTCTTTCTGTTTCCTCATACTTGATGCATCTCAAGCTATTTGATCACTAGCTCGTGTTTCTTTTCTGGTTAAAAGAGGAGGTCATGTAGATATGCAAGGGGGATTTGCAGCAAATTCAGTCTGCATTTCAGTAAACTTGGAGCATATGGTTTACTTGATGGATGCCTTCAACCTGTTTTGGGGCTGGAAGTTTCCAAACTGGATGTTGTTGGATTTGGAGATTAACTAGTTCAACTACTCATATATGAGGGAACATAGGTAGCGAGGAGTCTTGAGGCAAAGATCATTAAGTAATAAATACACAGCCAACAGCCACATTTCCAGACTTGCAAATTGATCTACTTTCCACTAGAACAGGCCATAGTATAATTTAGTTGGCCACACAAAAAGGATGTATGATGAGGAGAAGATTATTGAACAATGAAGACACAGGCTAGGGTCACTTAGAATCTATGCCACTATCAGCTATAGTAGGTTAGAATGCTTACTGTTATTTTTGCAATTGATACTAATTTGAACAAAGTTCCTGATGCTTTCTTTGTCTAAGTGGTAAGAAAAAAGGACAAGAGGCCTAGTTTGATGGAATGAGTGTATGGTAATGAAGGATACCACTCACTGGGCAACAGTTCAACAGAAGGAGCAAAGTAACAAACTTCAAATATAAAGTTTAAAAAAAAAAAAAATGTGTGTTCAGGAGCATAACAGAATACCACTGAGGAACAATGAGAAGCACTTCAGCCTTTTCCTCACTGGAAAATGGGGTGTACAGAGCTATGGATAATTCTGTCCACAGCAACTAGTGTGGGTCAATTGCTTAAAAGAATATGAATTATGAGCAGCGTAGCTGTCTGCCTTTTAAATCATAGAAAACTCCTACAAAGTTTCTACAAAGTACAACCACAACTGTTGCTATTACAGAAAAAAAATGAGAAAAACTAGTGAAGCTGGGGTTTATTATCGTGAGTGAAATGAAGACTGAATATAATTTAGGGAGGTATTTTTTAATAAATTAAATGCTGTTTCAAATGAACAAGGAGCCCTTATGAGAAAATCCGTCTCCTCTGCATTTTCACACAAGGAGAACCAGGGGAAAATGGCATTAAATGGTGGCAAGGAATTTTAGTTAGACTCTAAGAATGATTAAAAATTGAAAACAAGATACCGAGGCACATGGTACAATCTCTAGCCCAAGAGATTGTTAAAAATGGAATTGAAAGTAATTTGACTTGAATTATTTACGTATACACTTGTCTGATCGAAGGGTGAACTCACGAGCTTCTGAGACCTCTTCAAGGTCTTTGATTCAATAGCCAACACTTCTGCCAAATGTTATACTGCCGGCCCTGAAAAGAATATACTTTATCTAATTAAACTTGTTCCTTCCCCTCAGGATTCTTCAATGATTTTCTATTCCTCCTCTTGATTTCTTATGTTCACTTATATTTATGGAAAAACAAGTCAACTATAATATTCATTTAGGTCCATAAGCAACATTTGGGTTAAAATTGAGACACTTTAGGAATTTGTGATTTTTAGATAGTAGTTTCATTGACTTGCTTCTGCAAACAGGATTTCTTACCTATTTTAAATCCACCTGAGCTTTGTTCTAAATAACTTGGACTACACTGTTCAGAGTTTATTTATTTATTTATTTATTTTTAAATAACATGCTGTGTCTGAGTAGATTTTTTTTTTTTTTATTTAAAGAAATTGAATGGATTCTATAGTCAGAACAAGGATCCCTGGTGTTGCAATGGTTAAGTACTCAGTGTCTAACTGAATGGGCAGCAGTTAGAACTCACCAGCCACTCCATTAGAGAAAAGATCTTGCAATCTGTTCCCATAAAGATTGTAGCCTTGGAAACCCTATAGTGCAGTTATACTCTGTCACATGGGGCTGCTATGAGTTGGAATTGACTCTATGGCACACAGCAACAACAACATAGTGAGAACAAAAGAGATAGAAACTGTCCACCATCTTAACTACTATACTACTAACCCCGGCACTGTAAAATACCTAGTTTTATTTCAGAAGTACTCATTCTTTCCTATTTATCCTTTCAAGTACTGATTTGATATGTAATGAGGAATGTGACTGGAATTGTATAAATTCTTCATTTCTCTTATCATTGTTTTTGAGAACAAATGTATTACTATTAGTGGTCACCCGAACTGGGCATTTTTCTCTTAATGCAATGTCTCTGACTTTAACTTTCATTTATTCTTGGACATTTTCCAAAGCCCCCAGCTTGTTTGAAAAGTTTTCTAAAGAAAAGACAGGGAATTTAAGTCTGAGATCTGTTTGAACAAGTGGACATTCTTTCTGTGTTTTTTTGTTGTTGTTGTTCCAGGTTTCCAGATTAAAGCTTTCACATCACTGCACTTCCTGGCGGAACCTTCCGATGCAGTCACTATGCGAGGAGGCAATGTCCTCCTGAACTGCTCTGCACAGTCTGACCAAGGAGTCCCAGTTATCAAGTGGAAGAAAGATGGCATCCACCTAGCCTTGGGAATGGATGAAAGGAAACAACAACTTCCAAACGGGTCTCTGTTGATACAAAACATACTTCACTCCAGGCACCACAAGCCGGATGAGGGACTCTACCAATGTGAAGCATCTTTGGGAGAGTCTGGTTCCATTATTAGCCGGACGGCAAAAGTTGCAGTGGCAGGTAGGTGGCTGCTTCTGCCTCCTCCTCTTTCTCTGCCCTCTTCATCTCTCCTCATTTTCCTTTTGGAAGTCAGAAAATAATATTATTTTAAATTAATTTTGTTGTCATTGTTGAAAATATACACAGCAAACTATACATGAATTCAACCATTTCTATGTGAACAATTCAATGACATTGATTATATTCTTTGAGTTATGCAACCATTCTTACAATGTAAATTGGGAGTTGTTCCTTCCCCATAAACATAAGCTCACTGTTCCTATCCTAATCTTTCTTATCTAATCTTTCAAGTTGCTGTTTTCGCTTTGATCACATATACATACTTCTTAAAAGAGCATAATCCTCAAGGCAGGCTTTATTTTCTATTTATTTATTTATTTATTTATACTAATTTAACTAAACTATTGTTTGGTTTCACAAAGACTTCAGAGGATATTTTTGGTTTAAAGTTTAAATATTATCTCAGGACAAATCTGGAGTCCGTGAGAATGTGAAATTCTGTTCTACATTTTTACCTTTTTCGTCAGGATTTTTGCATAAAATCTTTGATCAAAATGTTCAGTAATGGTAGGTGGGGACCATCTAGTTCTTCTGGTCCCATGGCAAAGGAGGCAGTTGTTCATGGAGGCAATTAACCACATACTTCATTTCCCCCTTTTTTTCTTGACTCTCCTCCTTTCTTGCTCCAGGTGAATAGAGACTAGTTGCCATGCCTTGAAAGCTGCTTGCATGCTTTCAAGACCCCAGGCTCCACAAAATGAATCAGGAGGTAAAACAGGAGAACTAAACATGTTATGAGGCCAATTCACAGGGATGTCCCATGAAACCATGCTCCTAAACCTCCAAGCCAAGGTCCAAGCCAAGGTTTTTGGTTGTACATGAGTGGTCTCAGCAGCTACTCTTTTTATAAATATATTTATCACCAACTTTTGCCAATTCAACTTTTTACAGGTATACAGCTTAGTCCCATCAATTACAATAATTGGCTATGTACCCTTAATCAATGCAATTTTCCCATCACCTTTAACCCTCCTGTCTCCTTCTTTCCCACACCTGAAAATGACTAATAAAACTTCTGTCTCTATATATTTGCCTTTTCTTGTCTTTTTATGTAAGTGAGGTCATAGAATATTTATCATATTGTGATTGACTTATTTCATTCAACATAATGTCTTCAAGCTCCATACATATGGTAGCATATAACAAGACTTAGTTTCTTTTCCTGGCTGAGTAGTTTTCCATTGTATGAATGTACCACATGTTGTTCATCCATTTATCTGTTGATGAATTTTGCTTGTGTCTACCTCTTGGCTATTGTGAATAGAGTAGTGCTGCAGTGAACAGTGGCATAGAAGCCTCTGTTTGAGTCTGCTGACAAGTCTTTTGGTGATGCATCTAAGAATGGAAATGCTAGGTCATATGGTAGTTCTGTTTTCAGATTTTTGAGGAACTGCCACACTGTTTTCCACAATGGCTGTACAATTTTGCCTTCCTGCCAGCAATGAATAAAGGTTCCAATTTAAACATTCCTTCCCAATTTTTTTTTAAATCTTACCTATCCTACTAGGAATGAAATAGTATCTCATTGTGGCTTTGACCTGCATCTCTCTGGTGGCAAATTACACTGAGCATCTTTTCAAGCATCTGATGGCCATTTGAATGTTCTCTTTAGTTTATTCA